GTTGTTCTTGCTTGTATGCGTTCTGGCTACAGAACGCTGCATGGACCTGATGGAGAGAACACAAAAAAATGGAGCCCGCTCCATCCATGAGGCTTAACACAGAAAAAAACACACTGACGGTGACTGCGTTAATAAAAGTGCTATACTGTAGCGTAAGCATACAACTCCGGCACAGCAATATGCCAGCAAAAGCACAGGAGAAAGCAGGAAAAACACGGCTAATTCGTACCTTCCCTGAACGGGGACATTGAGGGAAAGTGCCTTTGCGTGATGCTGAAGCTTCGCAGGCATTTTCTTGTCCGGCAGAAACCACCAACTGTCGAACACCATGTCGATGTCAAAAACCTCATTTAGTTGAAGAGAAACCTGGACAAAAAATCAAAAAGTGAAACAGTCACCAAGGAACAAGTTGAACGAACGAATTCAAAGCCCTGAACAGTTAAAACTTGTCCTCGATTTACAATCAGATCCAACGACTAATTCCACAAGCGGTAGGCTTGTTCAGATCTCCTTACCCGCATCTTGTGCACCTCGTAACTGCGTTTGCTGCCTGGGAGTTTGCGTTTTAGAAGGAGCTGGAACTCCGGCTCCATATCGATGATTTCTTTGAGGGTCAGTCTGGCTGATGCATACAGACTATTGAACGAGAAGTCGCTTATCTTCCACTGCTCCACAGTAATGCAGAAGTTATGCAGTTGGTTGTAAGGAAGCAAAAAGACCTTCAAAGGCCATACAACCAGAGGAGCTGCCAACGGGCGATACTCCCCAGGGCCCAATCTGTAGCCCGGGGTAAACAGAAAGCGGCGACGTAAAGAGCCACGAATTACTCGCTTCCTGAGAGCGCGCAGCAGTACAGAGGGAGCGTCTCCAGGTTTAGAGCCGTACCTGCTTCTATATGTATACCTAGATAAAAAGATATATATGTATATGCAGATAAACATTCATGTGATTCACTGCGAAGTGGTGCGCAGATCCAGTTGAGCCTTTGCGCGACCCTGAAGCAGTCGAGCTAAGATTCAGACACACAGAGGCAAACACGTTCACGCGTACTTGTTAACATGCCCAAAGGTGATGGAGTAGAAAAAGTACTGCTCCTTCGTCTCGAGGTTCATGAAGGAGTTGATGAAAAACGATGACTCCCACATCCGCCTCCTGTCCATGGGGTCTAACGCCTTCGCACGACGGTCCCGCCTCAGCTGTACGGCAGTCGAAAAAAACAAATGCGAAATATTTGCAATGAAACAGACGACAGCTGTGCTTGCAGGGTCGTGAGTTGTCGCTTTCGATTTGCTGATGGGGTGTACTGAAGGTACTGCAGCACCTCACGCGGTCGATCTCTTCAAAGTCTT